TCTGTCTGTCTGTCTGTCCATCTACCCATTTGTCAGTCTATTCAACTGTCTGTCTAGCTCTCTGTTTCCGTGTGCCTGTTTGTCTGTATTTGTGTTGGCCTGGCTCTGTTAGTCCGTCTACACCTTCGCCAGCCCATCCGAGCTGAGCGTTCTCATTCAACTCTGATTCTCTTTTGCCCTGACATCACCGTGATAGACTGGATGATTGATAACTGGCCACATGGGCCGATGTGATTTCCAACATCCATTCCAGCCTTCTGTATTAAATTGAAAAAAAAACAAAACAGAATTATGATTATTCTCTGGCCTATTTTTCTAATTTATACTTACTCCTTTGGTAAGCTTGCACCCACAAACCAGGCCCCACCTGCGCTCCCTACTAAACCGATAAGACGACCATTGGCTTTCGAAAGCTGACACGCATTCCAGGTCTGTCTGTCTGCCTGCCGAGATCCTCTCGGATCGGCATCGCTTGGCCACCTTCGCCGTATCCCAGAGGGCAATGCTGCCGTTCAGAATTTGCTGCATTCCAGACTGATTTATTCAGCATTTTGTGATATTGTTTACTGCCCACTAACTAGTTGTCCCTCCGACCCGCCAGGTTGCACGCCTCTGCTTCTCAGCGATAGGCTTGCCTCTGCCCCAGCAGCGTCCTCCTGATTAACACCCTGCCATACCATCATCACCTGGTTGAATACATTAAGCTTTCTTCACTTTTTGCATTAGATACCTTGGCCCCAAGTTGACGAGCCATTAAGCATTCTTGCATTATGTTGTACCTATATGTCTAATCCTTAAGTATTTTGCATTACATTTCATTGCCGTGGCATTTAACATTATCTTGTTTGACTAAATAAATGAAGTTGATCGCAATTCGTCGAGTCTTGTTGCTCGTTGCCGGCCATTTGGCGGGCAGCAGATCATGGCCTCCCTTTTTGATCTGCGAGGCCACCTTGAATCTTGTTTACGTCAAGACTTGACAATGAGTCAAACGCCGAGTGCTCAGGCCTTCAGACAGCCACCTCTGGTCTTCACGGGTGCTGTTTTATTCCAAACTAGGAATCGCCTCGGCTCCGCCGTTCATCCGCACTGCAGGCGGACACTGCTACCGGTGCTGGCCAATCGTAGGCCAGGAACTAGCAAGATGTCCTGCTTGAATGCCCTCAGACATGGACACTTTGTGCATTCGCGATAAAAAAGACCTCTTCAGGGGTTATTGAATGCACTTCTGTGGGGTCAGACAACGTCACCAGCTTGGCCCCGATGGGATTCACCGTAGGAAACCTCCGGTTGCTCAGATGCGCCCGGCTTTTTGTAAGGTCGGAGAAAATCACTACTGCCGACAGTGGACATTTGGATGAAGTCTCTTGGCACACCATATCGGGAGGGTTTGGGGACACGAAGAACCCATCTGTCTTGACGTAGCTCAAGGCAGTAGTATTAGCATAAGACTAGAGTCAGCCCAGGTTGCTTGAGGTGATGTAAGAAATGATACTCGAATCAGCCCACAATTAAGTGAGTAGGCCTCATTCTCTATTCTGCCCCAACTAGTTGTTGACCTTCATTCTACTTCTCAATATTGTGAAACAACTGGCATTTAATTTTATTGGATAGTTTTTCCGCACCAACATTTTTTATTAAACTTTCCAACTTTTGATCCAGGTGATCTACATCTGATTGATTCGGAACCCTCCTTAGCACTGATTTTACACACAATACCTAAACTCCATAAATATGAGTAAATACTATTTGTGTGTTT